GCCTGCCACTTCAGCCAGAGTGCTTGCTTCGGAGAGCATTGTTTTCTGGAGTCTGGCCAACCTTCGAGAATTTACCCAGATGGCCCAGAGAACACTGAACCACTTCCATTTATGGACATTGTCCTTTATCAATTAAGAACAAAGGAGAGTTGGGTGTTTTGTGTTTTTTGGGATTTTTTTTACCTCTTGATTGCTGTATTTTACATTTAAAATTTGTCTGCACATGCTGACATCATTAGAACTATCTGGGGAGATTCGGGGCAGGGAATCAAGTCCCACAGTCCAGTCTGTTGCCAGCATGTGAACAGGCCGTGCTTCAGTTTTTATCATAAGTGAGTTTGAAAGTGGGTGACATGCCAGACATTCCTCCTGAAAGTGAGCTAAGGTAATGATGGAACGCAAGGCAAAAATCAACATGTCACTTGCAATTCTATTTGGGAGGTTGGGGGTGGAGAGATGACAGTTCCGTGGAGGGATTTACATAGCACCGTAAAAAGAAAAGTCCCCTGGGTGTTGACTGAGCTGCAAATAAAACAATGGCCCGGGGACTTCCATGGCCTCAGCCTTCCCGGCCACGCCCCCAGGAAATGCCCCAGCCCCTTCCCAGCTTTGCAACCGGAGAACTGTGTGGAATGAACATCATCCCCACTGATACCAGGGCTTCTAGGTGGACATGGCCACTTGGGGGAGTGGGGGGCGAGACGAGGACAATCCACATGCTCACTTCCTAGAACATGTCCAGCCGGGGGTTGAAATTTGTGCCTTCCAAGCAAACATTTCAGAATGGCATCTCTTACCTTTCATAAATTGCCCCAACAGAGAGGTTTCCAGCAAGAGGGGTCCCCCTGCCATTCCTGGGTAGTGTTTCTGCCTGGCACTCTTTAGAGCTTCTGAGAACCAGTGGGGTGCTAGGGCTGGACTCTGCCTTGACTTTGCCACAACCTGTGCAGACAGTGGTGTGTTTCTAGTCCTAGGTCTGAGTTTGCACATTTGAACTGAATAGCATCACACTTATCATATCGAGTTTTTGAGATTTTCTCTTATTTTTTATACCAGTTTTATTGAGGTATAATTTATACATAATCAAATTTGCCTATTTTAAGTGTACAATTCGATTGCTTTTTTAAAATTTGATTGCTCTTGACCATTATTGTATTTCAAAATATTTCTTTCATCCCCCCAAATGAGCCTCAGGCCCCATTGTGCTCAGTCCCCTAACCCTGCCAGCCACTGGTATGTTCTTTCCTTGTAGTTTCACCTTTTCTAGAATTCATATAAATGGAATTATTTAGAATTTGGTCTTTTGTTGTCTGGCTTTGTTCACCTATCGCAGGGCCTTGAGATTCATCCATGTTCTGTATGTGTCAGTGGTTCATTCTTTTTTTACTGGGGAGTAGTACCTAATGATTTTTGTCTGAATTTGGAAAAGAAAGATTTATTTGGGTCACATGGAAAAGCAAATAGACTTTCACTAGCTTTTCGAAAAGCATGTGTTCACTGAAGTTAATTGTAAGAATTCTTAAAATCCATCTTACTGTTCCATTTTCCCTGAAATATAAGATCTTCCTACCCCTTAATTAAAATGAAGATCTAAATGCAAAAATCTTAAAACATTAGGCAGGAAGATCTGAAGTGAAGGAAATTTCAAGATATGTTGCAAAAATACAAATTAATTAACAATTTCCAAGTAAATGTTGGCAGTCTGGATAGGAACCTGGATTAGACCAAGAGTTTCACAGAAGTCTGAAATTACTATTGAATTGTCAGTTAGTAGAAGGATTGAAGCAAAACCCCCATCTTTCTCATATGGTATTTGTTAGTAATTATAATAAGGGAAAACTGATGGTGCTTAGTGATAATAATAGCAACAACAACTATTATTATTATTATAGCTAACTTGTATAGTGAATATTATAGGTCTGGTACTTCCCTGAGCACTAGATAGGTCATTAATGCATTTAATTTTCCCAGCATCCCTACCAGGTAACTGTTCTATCATTACCCCCATTTTACAGATGAAAAAACTGAGGCTTAGAGAAAACTAAACAAACTGCCTTGAAGAGAGGTCAAGCCAGGATCTGGTCCAGGGAATTCAAGAACCTTCAAGAACCTTGACTTTTGACCAGTAGAACACTACAGAAAAATCCTCAAATTGGCAAAGGGGATTGATGTTGTCCCTGAGCAAGGTAAGAGATTGAGCCAGAGCAGGCATCTCCAACCTGAGCCAGACAGGTTGTTGAGATGTGTGGAGAGGCCCAGAAGAAGGCAATGAGAAGGGGAAGGAAAGGAGAAACACTGACGTGTAGCGTTCACATCAAAGAGGCTGCCGGTTGGCCTGCTGCCCAGGGCCCAGCTGCCTATTTTCTACCCCAGGTCCAGGTGACCTCTGGGGGGCCTTTCAAAGCTAACAGGTTAGGAATATCAGAAATACTTGTTCAGAGTCATTGTGACTTGGCTGTATTGATGCGGGCCAATTGTCCACAGTCTGGTTGCGTTGTTGTGAATGTGGATGAATAACCACTGGCTGCATATCGAATTCATTCAGTATTGTGAATTTGTCCTTTTTATGGGGCTTTTTCATCTGACCCATAAAGTCTGGAACAAGATTGCCTAGTTTTGAATCTTGGCTTTGCCACTTACTAAGAAGTGCAACTTTGAGCATGGTACTTGACCATTCCATGCCTCTGTTTTCTCATCTGTAAAATGGGAAATTAAGAGTACACCTATCCCGTAATATCGTTTCAAAGGTTAACGTGTTGTTATGTATAAAGGATTTACAACAGCGGTTACAAATAGTAGGTACTATATGTGTGATGACTTTTATTCCTATCACTATACAAAAATGATGGTAGGTGAAAAAATATATATTTGTATATATACAATAAGCTATAATAATCTGCACTAAAATGAAATTTACATCCAAGACTTTATTTTGCAGGGCTCTGTTCCTTGTTCTTGCAGGATTGTGGAGGATTGCACAACACTGATGGGTACAAATGCAGGCTCAGGAACCCAGGGACATGATTTTAGCCTCTACAATTACAGCCTCTACAACTCTACTAGTTACCAGGTGGGAAAATTATAGATACCTGGTCTCCAGGAACTGAAACTGTAGCAGTAATTGGACACCATGTGTTTTGAGAGAGAAGAATCTTTGTTATTTGTTTGAATCCTGAACAGAGTAGAAGAGAAGAGTAGAAGCTTGGGATGAGAAAAATGGGAGTTTCCTTTCTATTCCTTGTTTTTTGGTTGCTGGAGATTTTAGAGTAGATGGTAGCCAGTTTGCAGTAAACTGTCCCCCTGTGGTTCTTTGGTGCTGTATTTAGATCCTGATTATTCCCAAACACCTAGTTCATGGTCCATGTTTTGTACAAAATCCTCCCTAGCTATCCCAGCCAGCCCATACTGCTCTCAATTACATGCATAAACTGAAATTCTTACACCTTTTGACACATAATCATGTATTATGTTGTATTGTTTGTTGCCTTATGTTCTATAGAACTCTCTAGAGAACATTCATTCATTGAGTCAGTGAACAGCAATTTATTGGAAGCCTTTGCAGGCCTTGATGATGAAAAGTAGGAGAGGGTTTGTTTTGGACAGATTGTGCATAAATACTGAGTACATATAAACCTCTGGTGATTTTTATTTAGTTAATTAATTTTTAAAAGATTTTATTTACTTATTTTAGAGAAAGAGAGGGAGAGAGAGAGCATAAGCAGGGGCAGGAGCAGAGGGAGAGGGTCAGGCAGACTCCATGTTGAGAGTGGAGCCCAAAGCCAGCTCCATCCCACCACCCCACAGGAGGTCATGACCTGAGCTGAAATCAAGAGTTGGGAGCTTAACCCACTGAGCCACCCAGACGCCCTCCTCTCTGGTAATTCTCAAGTCTCTAGTAGGAACCAAAGCCTTCTGTTTGACAGAGGCTTCTACATTATTGCCACCAGCCTCCTTAGGGATAAAGACGAGGTAGGATACAGCAAAATTTGCAGTTTCCTGGTTATCACTCCCTTCACTTAGCACAATGGACTTGGATGACACTCACTGTTAGTCTTGTCAAACATTTTCTGTGGGCCCACAGAGAACTGTGTGAGAAAAACGTTCTAAGATGTAAAAGGAATATGAAATCTGAGTCCTCCTCTTTATTCTATTGAGCTGAACATTTACTGAGCACTGACGGTGAGCCAGCGACTGCACTAGACGGAGGGAATAGAGAGTGACACCTAGCCTTCGTAGGGAGGCCAGCCAGTCAACAGGTGAGCTCGTGAGTTGCTAGCCAGGTGATCAGGAAGTTAGGGGGTCCCAGGAGAGGAGCCCTCGGTCCAGCCTGGTGATGGGGAGGGAAGGAAAGAAGTGTTAGCAGAGCGGGGGTGGGGGAGGGGTGGGGGAGGGCTGCCGTACTTCCCAGAGTGGTGCAGGGTAGGCCAGAGGGTGGAAGGCACCCTGTTAACGACTCTCCGACGGGCCTGTTTTCCTTGCGGTCCTTTAGACCAGAGCTGATCAGGGTCCGAGTGGTTTCTGAGTTTGCGCACTTGAGACTGGGGCTCTCAGTTTGAGGAAGGGGCAGGCTGCCGGCTGGCTACCTCTGTGAATCGGGCCGCGGACCACCCCGGGAGAGAAAGAGGGCTGTGGGGAATGTGGCACATTCCTCCAGCAGGATCCCGGGGCCGCAGCCTCCGCCCCACACCCTTGGCCCGGGCCAGGTGTGCAACCTTCTTGCCGCGAGAGGGGGGAGCCCGGCGGCTGGGGTGAGCGCTTTTGCAGCGCGGTGTGTGCCGTGTGTGTTTGTCTGCCTCCAGAGGGCTGGGTCCTCCTTATTCACAGGTGAGTCACACCCTGAAACACAGGCTCTCTTCCTGTCCGGACTGAGTCAGGTAGAAGAGTCGATAAAACCACCTGATCAAGGAGAGGGAAGGCAGAGCGGAGCGCAGAGTGAAAGCTACCAGCGGCGAGAAGCGCGCAGCGACCCCTCGGCGGCGGACGGACCCGCGGCCCCGGCCATGCCTGCGCCCTGGCTGAGCTGCGGCCTCTGCCTGGCGCTCCTCCTGCCTGCAGCCCCGGCCACCTCCAGGAGGGAAGGTGAGTCGGCTTCCCCCGGAGGAAACGTTGCAGCCCTGGGCTGGTAACTGGCCTTGCTCTGCAGCCTCTGCTGGCTGAGCGCACCTCCGAGGATTCCCACTGTGTCGAGAACTTCTTTAGAGCTCCCTCTTTCTCCCGCATCCGGGGCTTCTCCGGAGATGGGGTTTAACAGAAGACCAATATTATATACAGCTGTCCGTGTTTCAAAGGTGAAGCCAGTAGGTTGTGCCAAACCAGGATTTTTCTTCCTTTAAAAATGTTCCTTCTTGATTGCGTTTTGGGTCAGTGGGCCCCTGTTTGATCAGGAATATCATCAGCAATATGTTGGCATATAAATTCTTTTCCCATAATGTGTTTTCGTGGACGGGATTTGGGTGGGAATGTTTTCTGTGACTGTGAACACCACAAAGATGGAAAAGGAGCTCCTCTAATAATCCTTCTGGAATTCTCGGTTCGTCTTTGGGATGGAAACTGAGCCTTGGTGATACCTCACTTTTGCATGTTACTTCTTAAGGGTATTCTCACATAATATTCATTCAATAAGCATTTTGGGGGCACCTCTGTCATAGATCATTTGATCTGAGCTCAGGGATCCAGAGGCTGTCCTGTCCTGAGAAGTTCAACTCACTCATGTAAACAAAACTTGCTGAGAACCTAGCAACCGTTTGCTATAGGCATGTGTCAGCTATGACAACGTGTATCGGGTGTTTTCCTTGTCACTTAGTTTTAGCGATAATATCTGCTTGTCTCATTACCCTGATTTTTCATATTTATATTGCTTCCTGCACCTGATGGCATTTCAATACTCATTTCAATAGGTCCAAGAGTCATTTTCACACATGTGAATGCATGAACATGAGATAATGTTCACGTAGGCACAGAATTATCTTAAACTTTCCCTAAATGGCTGGACTGAATTATGTTTGAATGGCATGGATACTTTAGCATGTGTTTGAATGCATTGATACAGTCCTCTTTTTTCCTTGGAATTAATTTCCAACCTATCATCCCTGACTACCATGTTAAGTCATTTATGAAAATAATCATGTAGGTTAGGTTCCCTTAGAGTTAACCTAGTGAGAAACATCCTAAAAGTAAGAAGAGTCTCCGAATATTAGAATTCAAAGGGACTGCTTCTGGATCAACTACTATACCCCATGGCTTAGAATATGAAAACACAGAAATGGGTTTGCAGAAAGCCACACACCAGCTATTGGTAGATATACATCTTGCACTTGATCCGGGAGTTCTTAGGCTGGAGCTTTTGGGACCACATTGTAAAAGTAATAAAGGAGCTAGTACATATGTTTTACATAATGGGTAATTATTGAAGCAATTTGCCCATTGGCTATAGTTGAGTATAGGTGTGTTGTGTTAGCATTAGATAACAGAAATAAATATGTAGGATGTGATCAATTGTTTAATAAAATCAGACTCGGGAGGACAGAGCTTGACTTGTACTTCTCCAGGATAGACAAGCTCTGAGTATTCCATCTAGACCAGTAAGTCAGAAGCTGTGTTCAGTCTCCTTTCTAGACTTTCCCCTTCCTTGGAGATGGGCTGCTTAAGATATTAGGCTCCCTCCTCAAAGGGCTTCATAGAGCACCCATGCTCTTCTGTTCACGGGATGCTGGGATGCAGTGTAAGCCCAACTAAAGTATGGGACTTGCCACTTCCCAAAGTGACCTGCCTCTGGGCATCCTGTGGGCTGCACCTATGAGAGCCTAAAGCAATGACATTGCTTCCCAGTTGTTCTCTTGAAGGTGAAATTACGGTGTTAGATATCATTAGTGAGACTTGCAGGGCTGGTCTCAGCTAAAACACAGGCTTTAGAGTCAGCCTGACCTGGCTTCAAATTTTGGCTGACCCACTTACTAATTTCTTATTAGTAATCATTCAGGCTTCTCAGCTTCTTGGAATCTTCTTCTTTGCCTGTTACATGGGAACAGTAGTACTATGCCACCTTGCAGAGTTGTTGAAAGGATGAGGAATTATTGTGAAGTGCCTTAAAATCCTGGAACCACATTTCTTTAAAAAGTCTGAAGCCAACAGTGCAGGTATAAATAGTGAACTTGGATCTGAAAAGATCACTAAGCAAGATAAGGACTTCCCTTCAGGAGCTCACCATTGGTGTGAGAGAATATGGCACATAACTCCATTGGTCGGGATCACAGTTCACGTAGATCACACGACTGGAGAAGGGGCAAGAAGTAGATAGGGATGAGACTAGAAACAGAGCCAAGAACCTGGTTGTGAGGAGCCTTATATGCCAGGCTGTGCAGTTAGGATAGTGCCCCAGAGGTCAACAAGAGTTGCGGATGGTTTATAACCAGGGGGTGGGCACGGTCAGATTCGTGTCTTAGAAAAGTCCCTCACTGAAGTCCTTAGAGGATGGAGTTGAGCTAGGAGGGGGCAACAAGTGGCCATTGTAATAATCCAAAGGAGAGATGATGATGGCTTTCATTGTGGTGGTGGAAACAGCAAAATGGAAACAGATTACAGGACATTTAGAAGGTAAAGTTGAAAGAATTTGGTGATCCAATGCACATGTGTTAGGGATACAAGTAAGGGGAAAGCACGAGAAGTAAAGAAGAGGCCAAGACGGGTCTGAGGCTCCAGTGAGTGCGATGGTGAGACAGTGATGCCATGAAAGGAAATGAGAACGCTAAGGGAAGGGTCAGTTTTGGGAGCAAGGTTGGGTGGTGGATGAAGAGGAAGGGCTGAGTTCCTGTGGGGATCTGTTGAATCAGAGACACAAGTGGAGATGCCCAACAGTCCTGGTGAAGAGCTGGAGCTATGATTTTGAAGTTTAGAACAGTTTGAAATATAAAATGAGGAGCCCAAATGTGGAAAACAAAGCCCTGAGAAAACAATACATGAGATTACTGGGACATCGAGGTTAGAGAAATCTCGACAGGAGCACATTATCGAGGAGGAGTGCTTTGCTAGCCCAAGGGAGAGCTGTAACTAGGTAGGTATAATAAATGGTGTTTAGATATAAAAATGTGACTACACAAAGAATGAGGACTAAAATGATACGGCTGGATCCAGCCATCAGCTAAGTTTTGAAGCAATCGTTCTAGAATGATGAGCTCAGAATCCAAGATGATTATAGAACACTAATCTGGATTTCTCCCATGGCCTGATATGGGAAAAGAGGTGCTGTGGATAGTGGAAGGGACCCCTGGAAAGGTTTAGACTCTCTGATGGATTCTGCTACTTTAAACTGTGGAAATGGTACAGCATGATGCAAACAGGTGCAGGCCTGGGTTCAAATCCTAGCTCTGTCATTTCCCATTTGTTGGGGTTTAGACAAGCTACTTCCCCTGTTATGTAAGTTCCTGATCTCTGAAATGAGGAAAATAAATTGTGTGATCATTACCTGTAAAGCACTTTGCACAGTGCCTAGGAAGCTCTTGCTCTGTGTTCAGTATTACTTTAACTAACTGCCTCGCCGGGGTTGAATGTCAATATATTGCCTTCTGAGTTTTAAGTGGTAAAATTTTTGAAGAGGTTCCTTGCATTAGCCCAAGAAAGGTGATGAGGAGCCCTCCTGCTCAGGCTGAAATGAATCCCCGGTCTTACCCAATGAAACAAATGGAATTCCTGACAAAGGACCCAAAGCAGGTTGGAATTCCAAAGTCAGTTTTCATAGCATTTCTTATCCTTGCCTTTTGTCAACCACCAGATCGCATCACATACAGATTCGTCAAGTCTGTTGCTCTCTAGAACATACCCAGATATAAGAGGATCCTCACAGAACCTGGTCTCCCACTTCTCAATAGGAGAATTTCCCCCATCCCCCACCAAAAGGTTTGGCCAACCAGATTATGAAAACATTTAGCAGTGTACATGCAGTGGTCACATGTTTTTTTATGCTTAATTTAGCATGTTAATTCACAAACCCACTTAAAGTCACATAATTTATAAAATAATAACTTACAAGTATTAATTTGTAAATCCACATTTCATGAACTAATTACATTCAAACTCCACCTTTAGCATCGAATGCAACTTGAATACAGTTTCTCCTTCACTTCGGACATGGGTGGCTTGAGATACAGCTCGATTTGAGTCTGCTTTTGATGCTGTCACTGGAAAGTGCACCATTTTCAAATTGTCCCAAAGATTAAACATTATCCTTCAACGCACATTGTAATCTTCACAGCATAAACATCTTGAAAGGTTTATTTATGACAACTTTTGGCACTCACCATTGTGAGATAATGAACAAGTATGAGAATGAGAATTGTGTTCAACACAATTTCTTCTTTCTTACTGATAAATATCCAAAACATTGATTGACGTCATGTCAAATTAATGTGTGTTCCCCAAATAATATTTTAACAATAAAAGCAATTGAGAAAGTGCCCCATACCAGGGGAGATTTTGGAAAAGACTTCCCCCCACCCCGCCCCAGAAAAATAAAAACCTCCACCTTATTATATTCAAGTATGTGCAATAAACAGGAGTATAGAACTGGGTTGGAGTATATGCTGGAAATTCCTATGAAGGCTTAAATTCTGGTGTCCTGAGCTGGGGGCAGACATTGGCTTAGCTCGACTGGTCCAGGGAGCTGAGGAAGAATATTGGTTTGTGACCTGTGCTGATAGGAAAGTCAGGAGCATGGAATGCAGCTGTTGAGGCAATTTTGGGAATATTTTTCCCATTTAAGTCCTTAGTGGTTCAACTATATATAGACTTTTTTTTTCCTAAAGAAATTTCCAATGACAAGTCTTGAATCATCTGTTACAGACCAGTATAGAAATAGGAGTGCCATAGATTATAGAAGACTCTAATTTAGTCACAAATTAGGCCTAGCGGATTACTGAATCATTACTGGGCTGTGTACTAATATAATAACCCCCAGGTACATGATGTAATATTTGAATCATATCCAAGGCCCAAAGCGCAGTCTCTTCTGTTTCTGTGGGTGACTGTGTGTCTAAATATGTGCCTCCCCAACAAACATGTGCTTCCTTATGTCACAATTATGAAAG